TCAATCTCCTTTAGCCCACAAGAACATAACCTATCCGGGAATGGTATTTTTTTAAATCTCCCATAAACACAGCTGAGGGGAGCACATTAAAACAGGCCAGCGTGAATACCCTTCTAATATAGGGATCAATCAGACAGGAAAAATACTCTGGCAGCGGCCCATTAAGAAAAATCCCCCAATAAATGGGAGAGCAATGCCCAGTAGCAAGGCTTCTAAGTTCTTGCATTTCTATATCACTTTTGGCATGTTAATCACTCTTTGGGTGAAGAAGTACTTCCTGCAGTCCTGTTTATTGGTTAAGTGCGCAGACTCTAGTCTGGGAGAACCGAGTTTGATTCCCCACTCCTACACTTGCACCTGCTGGATGACCTTGGGCAAGCCATAGTTCTGGTACAGAAAAAAAGAGCAGTTTCTGTCAAGAGCTCTCTCAGCCCCACCTACCTCACAGGGTGTCTGTGGTGGGGAGGGGAAGGGAAAGGAGTTTGTAAGCCACTCTGAGACACCTTTGGGTAGTGAAGGACAGGGTATAAATCCAATCTCTTCTTCTTCTACACTGAGGCATAAGAAAAAAGGAGACTAAAGCTGAAGAGAAAAGTAATTGGAACTAAGGAAAGAAAGACACCTGAGAGAACTTTCCCAATGGAAAAATGATGGCTGTCAGAAGATAGCTGAGAGGGAAGGCACTGGGGCTCCCTCCCCCCTTCAAGGCACACTTTGCCTCAAGAGAGATGGGGGGGGGGGTTTGGAATCGGAACACTGATTTCTCGGCTAGAGTTCCTGAACCTTTCAGAGTTGCTTCTGCCCCTTGCAGAACCCCTATCTGGGGCTGTCCGAAGACTGCAGACAACACCAGGTTCTTCTCCACAGCTTATTTATGTGACACTGCTGTTATATGACATGCCAATAGTATTTAATTATTTAAGCTTATATCCCGCCACATCCCACAAGTGGGCTCAGGGTGGCTCACCACATACAAAATAAAAATAAACAAATAATCAAAACCAGATTTAAAACAATCGGACCAAGATGGCAAGTTAAACAAAGACAACAACTCCACAGCAGTCCGTAGTGCCTCCTGCAAGTGTTGGGTTATTCTTTTAATTTTTAAAGTGAATCAGCAGAGTAAATCAGCAGAGTATTAAAGAGGCAGAGTCCATGATGTGTTTAAATATAAAAGTTTACTGAAACCTAGCATGGGGGAAAGGTACATGGGATGTAAAATAACAAAGAGCTAATATTCCTACATCCTTACAGCTAGACAGAACATGGCAGAATAGAGCGAAGACTAACTTCTTCTTGCTCAGGACAAAGAGCCATAAAATGCTAATACTTGGCACTGTGGTCTCCAATGAGAACAACAAACTAGATCTGAAGTTGCCGGGCTTTCTAACTCTCTAAACAGATTGGATACAAACAAACATCATAAACCCAGTAAATACTGAACAGTGTTTTAACTTGTAACACCCAACAGCAAGGATGCTAGTCAGATAATAAGTTACTGCAGGCTTACTGTGAGAGCAGGAGAGGCCAAGATGGTTGAATGTCTGCTGCCTCAGGCAAAGGCCTTTCGTAAGTCACACAGGGCCCTGATCTCAGATGGGAGCGTGTTCCACCAGGCTGGGGCCAGGGCAGAAAAGGCCTTTACTACTGGCCTTTACTGAGACAACACATTTGAAGTGCTTTGAGTCTTCTAAAGCACTACCATTAATCCATTTACATCCCACACCCCTTTTGAAGATCACTGGAGATAAAGAACCCCCCACACACACACCCGCTTCCCATGCCTCTGCAAAAAAAGATAAGAGGGTGACTTACTGGCTAATTCCTTCAAAGGAAGCTTCCCTGGTCACACTCCCACTGTCGGTGTTCACTCCTCTCTGGACAGAGAAACATTCTATTACCCCCAGCTCAAAGCACAGCTGTTTCAAACTTAAACTTTTAAAAGAAAAGCATATCTTCACATAAACCGTCAAGGGGGCATGCTTATGAAATGAATTGCAACACAACAGAAGAGGGGAACTGATATAAACCCTGGAGGTCCATTCCAACCCCACAATTCTATGGTATTTGGTACCAGAAAAAAGCTGATGGGTCATTATTCTCCTTTCTTGTATACACCACAACTATATAGCCTGCCAGTTGATAATAAAACTTCATGAGAGCTGGCAGTGAGCCCTCACCCCTTTCCGAAACCCTTCCACTGCAGTAAACCTGTCTGCCTTTAACAAGGTTCTCTGTTACAGGGAGAGGAGATGCAACTTATGTATAACAGGAGAGAAACGTGGCATCCCATCAACTGAACTATCGTGAACTATCGTGCCGCTGCTGTGCTGAGCTATTACTTCAAATGGATTATCTTGTCCGCACAGGAAAACCCAAACCACGAATGACTGTACAACATGCAACAATATGGGTTAGCTTAAAGAGACAGCTCCAGAGCGCTCTCCACTGGTTCCCTCACCCATCTTAGAGAAGCGACTCACATTCTAAGGAGAAAGAGAGCTTTTTTTGGTGGCGTTCTCCTTCTTATTACTGCTGTCTCCCTATTTCTGTCCCCTTCTCACTAGATCACTCCTACTTTGTCTCCTTCTGCATTTCTTCAGGAAATCTCCTTCTTGGTGAGCCGCCTTAAGGGACAGAAACTCATCAGGATTGCATAAATTGCCAACAGCTGCCCCAAGGCCTTGAGACAGGGTGGAATATGAATTGGAATAACAAATTAATAGAACTTTATAGGCCCAAGGTGTTACTGTACTATCTGAGGGGACAAGGAACCCAGCCTATACCACAGGAAGCACTTCTGGCCAACATAATCAGTTGTCCTCTAATAAGACAGAGCCAAGGAAGCAGAGAGACCACACTAGGAGTCAGAAGTGTGACCAGAAAGGCCCATGTCCTCTTTTGTTTACAGTGGAGGTGATGGAAAGCCAGGGGATGGAAGCTGTGCTCCAGGGAAAATGGAGGACAAGGGCAGATCCACCTATACTGCCATCGGTTCTCAGTGAGAGCACAGGACGCAGAACCAGATAAGCCCAACCTCAGGAAACAAGACGAGGCTGTCCCGGTTATCCAGTCAGCTGTCCAGAACCGCCAAGGGACCCTAGCTCTTACTCCGGATCTTCTTTTAAGAACATCTTGTTGCACACAAAGTACCTGACAATTCCTTGGTGGCTCTGAACTCTCACAACAATCCTGTTAGGTGAGGCTAAAAGAAGGGTGGAGCTGCTGAAAAACACCCCAGATAACTTCATGGATGGTCCAGGAATTTGAGCTTGGGGCCCTCTTTCTCTCTCTTAACTCTCAATCTGGGCAGGTTTGGGCAAGTCGCATTCCCTCAGCACTGGACTGGCCAAGTATCTTCTAACCCTAAGCATTAACTCAGCTCAACAGGCTGAGCTGCTTTGGGGGTTAAAGTGAGCATCCGGTCTGTGAACTTTTAGATATTTATACCCTTCTGTTCTCCCCAATGGGGATCCAAAGCCATTTACATCATTAAAGCCTTTCCACCATTTCCCCCTCACTACAACCACCATGTGAGATAAGTTATAGGATGAACTTGCTCCATTCATTGTGACATCTCAGTCAATGGGCAATGAGCATTGATCTAATGTAGGAAAGCAGGAGAAATTACTGCAAAAAACCCTGGCAGACACATCTTTTATTGTAAAGCAGCAACAAAAATCAGATTATAGCATTTACAAAAATGCACCAATCAAAAATAACCAAAACCTCTCATTTGTCAATCTTACTCATTAACTAAGAATGCAACAATACAACTTACCAGGGTGAGAAGAACAGAAGGGTTCTTTGACGCCAAGACAGTGGCTATCTGTAAAATAAAAACCACAGATATCATTGGCACAAGGGGAGGCCCAGCGAAATAGACACTGGCATTTCGGGAGGATGTCCATATCTTATGCGAGTCTAGGGTTGCCAGCCCCCAGGCCCGGGTGGGGGTTCCTCTGCTTCTGGGGGAAGCCCCACCCCCAAGCCACAGTCAACCCCTCCCTCCCCTCCTGCAGAGATTTAAAGGGTTTTGGCTGATCAGCAGCGAGCATGTGGCCCGCCAATCAGCTGGAGGGCCCTTTAAATCTTTCATCAGGGAAGGAGAGGGGATGTCGCCGGCCACAGCTCTGCTTGCAAAAAGACTCCTGAAAAAGACTCACCCGTGGAATGCTCCCCAAATCCACCCGCCAGAGCAACAAGGGAACCTCATTCACACACTGTTTGCACTGAACAAAATTGACTTACTGCTGTCACATGTCTCTGTTGTCTGCACCCCTGTGTATCAATAACCTCCCTGGGATCCCCAGGCCTAAAATGCCACCATGGGGGGAGTTGTTTTTAACTTCTAAGCACTCACAATGTTAATCAACATTATTAACACTGCAACACTTGAGTTAATGGATATGGTGGTCCCATTTCAACAGATGGAAGCCCAAGTTCTTACAGCCCATACCCACAGAAAGTTCCTTCCCCACCCCCACCCCTCATTTATCGTAGGTTCTTCCTCCAATCAACTTTATCTGATTTGGGGGAGGAAAGGTTTGCAAAAATTGATATTTTACTGGTAATCAACACATTCTGTGTTTTAATGCAGCACTTCATTGGTCTCTCCCAAAACAGAATAGGTGCCGCAACAGAGTGTTGAAAGCAGCCTTGGACATAGCAAGCAAATATAAACATTTGTTCCAATTCAGCAAAGGTTCCTACGCATTCAGAGCCTTAGTTGAAGACTGCTCCAATTGCCTGTGAACACTCTGCTGGTACTAATGCATGTGTGATCTTTGACACACAACCTTCACTTTGAAGAACTCACAATTTAATATTTTAGAAAAACACCCGAAGTTGTGAGATTGACGAGAGGGAAGAGTAGGTAATCGACCATCCACAAAAAAGGGATGTGAGAACACAGAAGCCTTGCTGGGTCTGACCAGTGATCCATCTAGTCCAGCAACCTGTTCCATACAGTGGCCAACCAGCTGCCCTGGAGGGCCAACCAACAGGGCACAGGGATCAAGACACTTCCCCTGAGGTTGCCTCCTAGCACTGGCTTTCAGAAGTTTGCTGCCTCCAATCGTGGTGGCTCCCTCCAGTCGCCATAGCTAGTGGCCACTGATGGACCTCTCCTCCATGAAACTGTCTTACCCCTTTTTAAAGCCATCAGTGCTTACAGGCACAACTACCTCCACTGCTGTTGAATCCCACAGTTTAATTCTTCATTGAGAAAAGAAGTTTTTCCCTGGCATGAAAGTTGTGAGCGAGTGATTTGGCTACTGCATCAATTAGTTTGCTCTGGAGCCATCCTTCCTGAGCAAAGGCAAACGTGTGAGCTAGAGGCTAAAAAACTTTGAGCTAGCTCACACTAACTCAGCTTAGAGGGAACACTGCTCACGGGCACACCTACCTCCACTGCTGTTGAATCCCACAGTGTAATTCTTCATTGAGAAAAGAAGTATTTCTTTTTGTCAGCCCCGTACCTATAGCCCATCAACTTCACTGGGTGCCCCCGAGTTCCAGTACGCACCCTACGGAAATAATTACCTGGCCTTGGCTTCTGGAACATACAAGAGGGTGCACGTCTCCAACCCCACACCCACACAGATCAAGTGCAGAAACCTCCTAAGCTCTGCATTTGTTGACAGCCCTTCTCCTGACAAATTGTCAATATATGTGTGTGATACGAAGCAACAAAGCAAGCGGCAGTTTTCAGGGCAGGAATCACTTGTCATCCGCTCTCGCAGATAAGAAGCCCTTAACTAGCACTTCTGTATTCGACGCATAAAGCCCGATAACAAGAAAACCACGATTCCAATCCAGATATGTCAAGCAGAAAACCCCCTTTCCCAGAGACTGCGGACGGAATGAATAGAGTAGCACAAGCGCTATTTCACAGGTATAGTCATCTCCAGAAACAAGCTATATTTTGAAGGGTAGGCAAAACAAAACAAAAGATGAGACCGCTTTAGAGCAGGACAACGAAGCGGGAGCCTGAAGGAAAGAAAAAACATTTAAAATAAACCCTTAATTTTCATATTGCTCTCACAATGGCAAGACACAAGGGGGGGGGGACACAAATGAAACCCAGAAATCTTTTTAAAATACAGATGTAGCTAACTAGATATGAGTACAAGTATTAATGACAGCAGCCATGAAATTAAAAGACGCCTGCTCCTTGGGAGGAAAGCGATGGCGAACCTCAGCAGCATGATAAAAAGTAGAGACATCACCCTGCCAACAAAAGTCGGCATGGTCAAAGCAATGGTATTCCCAGTAGTCATGTATGGCTGCGAGAGTTGGACTATAAGGAAGGCCGAGCGCTGAAGAACAGATTCTTTTGAACTATGGTGCTGGAGAAGACTCTTGAGAGTCCCTTGGACTGCAAAAAGATCAAATCAGTCAATCCTAAAAGAAATCAACCCTGACTGTTCCCTGGAAGGCCAGATAATGAAACTGAAGCTCAAATACTTTGGCCACCAAATGAGAAGGGAGCACTCACTGGAGAAGACCCTGATGCTGGGAAAGATTGAAGGTCAAAGAAGACGGGGACGGCAAAGGATGAGATGGTTGGACAGTGTCATCGACGCAACGAACATGAAATTGAGCCAACTTCAGAGGACGGCGGAAGACCGGAAGGCCTGGCGGGAGCTGGTCCATGGGGTCGCGAAGAGTCGGACTCGACTGTGCGACTGAACAACAACAACAAAAATTAATGACGCTCATTTATACAGAGGCTCAGAGCGCTTCAGATACTCAAGCAAACCTGGCAATCTCCATCTTGCCGCTGAAGGCTTCAAAGCCAGTGTGGCGCAGCAGTCGGAGCACTGGCTCACCCGTGTGGCGCCACAGGTAGAGCACAGGACTACAGGCCAAAAGAGATGGGTTCAAATCCCCCCCCTCCCGTGTCATGTAGCTCACTGGTCAGCCTTAAGTTACTCTCTTCCCAGCTAAACCACCGCACGGCATCACTGAGAAGATAAAATGGAGGTGTGGGGCAACTGCACAGGCTGCCTTGAGCGCCTCAGAGGAAGGACAGAATAAAATAATAATAATAAATGAATACATCACAGATTAACTAGCGGCTTCAGCATGGCTACCTCAGGAGGCCATGGCAGAGACAATTCCCTGGTTCATGTATGCAGCTACTACAAGAAACAAGATCAAAACGGGGTGGGGTGTGGGGGAGGATCCAAACTGTTTTCCACAAGCATAAGGGCAACACACCAGGAAATTCTCTTCCCTTCCCGACTACCTTAAGAAGCCTGAAATCCTGGTTCCAGGGGTGAGGGGACCCCCAAGAAGAGGATGTGGGGGGAGGCATTTCAGGCGGCTGTGAGGGAGTCCAAATGGGGAAAGCCACGTTCCATGGGCAGAAGCAGGAGCCTGGATTAGAGCCTATTGTGATGGTTCAACACAAAACTTGTGAAAGCACCAAGTCAAGTCACACTTTCAGCCTCAGGGTTGGAGTGTGGGTAAAACGGAGGGGAGGGGAGGGGAGATGAAGTAAACCACGCTGGGGTCCCCTCAAGGAAGAAAGCTGGAGCAAAAATGTAGTAAATAAACAATATTTTAATCCCACTCTTCCTCCATAGAGATCAAGGAGGCTAACCTCTCCTTCATCCTCACAGCATGGGGCCAGTGTGGTGCAGTGGCTAAGAGCCGCTGACTCTTATCTGGAGAGCCAGGTTTGATTCCATATTCTTCTACATGAAGCCCTGCTGGGTGACTTGGGCCAGTCATAGTTCTCTCAGAACTCTCTCAGGCCCACCTACCTGATAAGGTCCCTGTTGCGGTAGAGAAAAGCAAAGTATAAAAACCTATCTGCTTCTTCTACAAATACACCGTGAGTAACGCTAGGCAAGAGAAAACGATTGGCCCAAAGTCACTCACAGAGCTTCACAGTCAAACGGGGAGATTTGAACGGTGATCCCCAAGATCCTAATCTAACCACTGCCCACACGCAAAGCCTTTTACCAAGGAGACAAAACACTCAACGACTGGGGGTGGGGAGGGGGGGGAGAACAACTCAGGCCCAATCTGCATCTAGCATTTGCTCCGCTGACCCACGCTGGAACAGAAATTCCCCTTTACATTGCATGCCACTTTCACTTTGATTGATTGTCGGATTTTATGGCCTAGCATTTCGAAAGCAAGAAATTGCAAGTAGATAAATAGGTACCACTTCAGTGGGAAGGTAACAGCGTTCCGTGCGCCTTGGTGTTGAGTCATGCCAGCCACATGACCACGGAAACGTCTTCAGACAGCGCTGGCTCTTCGGCTTTGAAACGGAGATGAGCACCGCAACCCTAGAGTCGGATTCGACTGGCTTTCGAGCAAGGGAACCTTTACCTTTACCTTTTACCAGACTGCATGCCCCTTGGGGCAACTTTGGAAGCTGCAGCTGGTGCAAAATGCGGCAGCCAGGTTGTTGATGGGTCTCCCCAGGTGGGAGCACATCCAGCCTGTGCTGAAGTCATTGCACTGGCTTCCAATAGCGTTCCAGATTCGCTTCAAGGTGCTGTTTTTGACCTTTAAAGCCCTAAAGGGTCAGGGGCCTGCCTACCTGAGGGACCGCCTTTCCCCGTACATTCCTCCAAGAGCACTGCTATCTGGATCACACCGCCTGGCCCCCCCTGGGCCTAGGGAGGCCAGGTTGATGGTAACCAGGACCAGGGCGTTCTCCCTGGTGGCGCCAACGCTGTGGAACGAGCTCCCTAATTAAATTAGAGTGCTACGGGACCTCCAGCACTTCCGTAGAGCGGTGAAAACTGAGCTGCTTCAGAAAGCGTTCAAATAAGAACTGACTGCACCGGCTGGGTCACACTAGCACTTTACCACAGGACGCTGCCGTACTTATTTAGTTTTACTGTATTTATTGTATTTTATATCTGTATTTGCTGGTTTTATATTGTATGTTGTTTTAAATTGTTGTAAGCCGCCCTGAGCCGCTTTCGGCGGGAGGGTGGAGTAAAAGCCCAAGTAAATAAATAAATAAATAATAATAATAATAAATTCCTTTGATGTCTTGGTTTTATAGTACCTGTCTGCACAGATTTATGGCCGTTTTATGGCCATCCAAGGGTGACTCTGCAGTCAGTATGGGGGGTTTCGAGCCCCATCTTATTCTGCTCCAGTGTGGATTTGGTAGAACAGTAGAGCAAATGCTAGATGCAGACTGGGCCTCATTCCGAAGAGAGCAGCTGTCTCTCAACAGCAGCGCCCTGCTCCACGGACCCTAGCCTCCTTTGAAAGGGAGGGACCCACCAAAAGCAGATTGCGGCCTCACAGGCAGCTCAAAAGGAAAAGAAGAAAAGAAAAGAAGCAGAGCCAAAAGAGTCCAGGTTGGCCATGCCTAAAAAGTAGCCACTGGATCCTACCCAGTGACAGCAGTACGATCTCTCCAATACACCCCGCCCCCCTCCAAGAAGGAGGTCAGCCCCCCCACAGATGTCTGGATGCCGCAGCAATCAATCTGCTGTAATCTAAACGATACAGTGTGCCACCAAGCACAAAGCCAGAAACTGAAATGCACACACAGTCCAAACTGCTGAACTGGGGAGGGGCGCACATCATCTTTTGATGGAAACCCCACCCCCAACTGAAATTTAGTTTTAGTTTTTCAAATATTTCTATTGTTTTCGGTTAAACTGACACATGCGAAAAGGTTACGCGAGACCCCCAGATAACAACATCCGCTAGTATGCTGGGCCCATTCTGAATTTCAGCTCTCACCCCCCCAGCCCTACGCAGCCTCGCTGGACACACTTACCTCATAAAAGGGGGCATGGACTAGGACTGGGGTTCAGTGCCAAGAAATTTTGTTTGTTTGCTCCCTAAGGGGACCCAAAGCAGCTTTACATGGTTTACCTCTCTTTCAATTTATCCTCACAAGAGCTATGCAAGGTAGGTTATGGTAAGAACGTGCAGCTGGCCCAAGGTCACCCAGCAAGCTGCAACAGCAGAGTGGGGATTCGAACCTGGGTCTCCTAGATCCTAGTCTGATGCTCTGACCACCACAGCACCACACTGACTCTCAAGAAGGGGGCAGATCCCAATAGTTTGTTTAGCCCAGAGACCCAGATGCCAATGCGAGAGCTCACCTGGTCAAGGTTCCCTCGCCCTCTGTTGGGGGGTGGGTTTTCCACATTATGAAGTCATAAACTGCCTACCCAGTATTGGCACTGGCAGTACACTCACCTCATCGGTGTAACGGACCTCAGAAACTGCATACTTCTTCTTGAAGAATTCCGGAGGGTGAATCCTTGGGAAAACACAGGGAGACACGTTTGGTGAGTGTCGTTTTGCAAGCCAGCAAACCTGCCACTCAGTGCATTTTGTTATTTTTAAAACCCTGACATTCTCTTTCGACAAGAAAAATGAAAAAAACAAACCAAGAAGAAAAGATCTACCTATAAGATTAATGCTACTCATGTAAAAACCCGGCATGGCAAAACATCATCATCCATTTCAGCATACTGGGTCGGATCCCACAGATCAGCAGAACCGCAAAACAGAACCACAAATAGGGTTGTCAACTCTGGCTTAGGAAATTCCTGGAGATTCCCCAAACTCCACCCTCTCCAGGCTCCACCCCCCAAATCTCCAGGTATTTCACAACCCAGAGCTGGCAGCACTAAGTCACACTCTACCTCACAGGGTTGTTGTGAAGATGAAATGGAGGAGAGGAGAATGATGTAAGCCATCTGGGGTCCTCTTTGGGGAGAAAGGTGGGTATTGGTCAATCAATCAATCAATACATATATGTTTTGAAAAGCCTACCATCTTGTAGGCAGATGACAAACTAAGATTACAATTGTTCCAAAGATTCAGTAAAAAACCTTTAAAAATCAAGTGTCTGCGACAAGGAAAACAACAGGAGTGCATGTCAAAGAGTTCAAATTTCAGTATAGATAAGTTTAAAATACTGTATTTTTAAAAAAATTCAAAAGCCAACGTCATGCCATACCAGTCAAAACAACCCAGGGTAGTATGCAGGCTTTTCACACCCTTCAGAATTCTTCAACAGGGCTGGGTGATCAAAGGCAAACGGGGGAGGGGGGAGACCCTCTCAGGGAGTCTAATGGGGGACAAAGCAATCTGCTTCATGGATCTGGGTCTTGTGCCAGCTGCTCCAAAGTGTGGTACCCCCAGGACAATCACACAGGCAGACACTGGGGCCAAGCTGGACCCCAAAACCATCTTTGAACCACCCCGACTGACACATCCCCACGATTTGGAGACTGTCCCCTGCAAGATGACATACAGTTCTTACATACAATGTAAGAACACAATGAATTGGCTTATGTAGTGTGATAAGCAGCCGATACCTCTATCAAACCCTGGGCATTCCATTGTCCTGAGTGTAGCAATAACTTGCAATTCTGCAATCTCCCATTCCAGTCTGTTTCTGAAATTCTTTTGATATGAAACAGCTGTGACCTGGAAGGTCAAAATGTTCTACAGGTTTCTCTGTTTTGTGATTCTTGATGTCAGATTTGTGTCCATTTATCGTTTGGCCTGTTTGTCCTATCATAGAGAACTGAAGGGCATTGTTGACATTTGATGACATATAGACTATGTTAGAAGGTGAGCAGGTGAATAAGCCTGAGATGGCATAGTTGATGTTGTTAGGTCCAGTGACTGTGTTGTCTGGGTATGCAGCAGCAAAGTTGGCATCAGGGTGTTTTGCGAGCTGTGGTACCAGTCTACATGTGTAAATTAGATGCTGTATTATTGAAGTTTGAAATTGGAGGGCTCTCTGTGCAGTAGAAAAGGTTCCCCCCTTTCCTTATTCAAATCTTCTGGGAGGCATTCCAAATAGGAGGTCATGGCACTGGAACTGGTTTTTGGACCGGGCACCACTGTATGTTATCTTGCAGGGGACAGTCCCCAGAGTGTGGTGATATGTCAGTTGGGGTGGTCCAAAGATTGTTTGGGGGTTCAGCCTGGCCCCAGCATCTGCCTCATTTTGTCCTGGGGGCACCACACTTTGGAGCAGCTGGCACAAGAACAGTGGTTTGGACCCGGACATGGCATATATCCCCTTGAAGGGGAGGGTCCACTGAACATGGGGGGTGTATGAAGTGTGGGAGTCCAAAGCTCATTTTGGGTGCAGAGGGCACTTCCTTATTGAAATCTTCTTTTTGTTTAAAGTTTTTATTGTTTTAGCAAAAAAGAAAGAAAAAAGGTGTTACACAGTTACTTTCCATCAGTTTGTGTTGCACTACAATTCAGAGTCATTTTCCTTTAGTTGTTTACAATATCGGTTATTATTGGTATTGCATTTCCGTTACCAATTCAAGTATAACTTTTCTATTACATTTCTAACTGTTCTTCTATCCATTTATATATTCTATCCCATCTCCTTTTATGTACCATCTCGTTCTTATTTTGTATCCTTAAGCTTAAGTCATCCATTCTGGCTAGTTCTAAGATTTTATTTAACAGGTTTTCCCTTGTGGGTAACGTATCTACTTTCCATTGTCGGGCTATTAATAGCCTAGCTGCAGTTATAACATAGCTGATAATATATGCATCTTGGTTATTGTATCCTTTCGGGATCATATTTAACAGATATATTTCGGGTTTTAGGGCCACATTTTTTCCCAGACTTTCTTGGCGCCCCTCCCTTACTATTTTCCAGAATTTTTGTGGCTTACTGCATTTCCACCACATATGATAGAAAGTTCCTTTACAAACTTTGCATTTCCAACACTTATTTGAGTATCCCTTGTAACACTTGGCCAGTTTATCAGGTGCCCAGTACCATCTGTGAAACATCTTATATACATTTTCTTTATATGCTACTGCTTTCCACATGCTAGACCATTGCTCTTCATCAATTTCTCCTATGTCTTTTATCCAGGTGATCATTACAGTTTTAACATCCTCATCTTGTAGAAAGTCCTTTAATAAAAGATTATACAGTTTCTGGACTAATTTATCATTTGAGGACAACCATATTTTATCCAGTTCGTTGTTTTGATCCTCAAAGCCTCTTAACATGTCCTTCTTATATCTATCTCTTAATATCATCTGCTCCCACCACGATAGATTTTCTTGTCTCAGTTTTTCTTCTGTTTTTAGCTCGTTTTTTTTATTTAGTAGAGTTTGATAGCTTTCCTTTAAGTTCCTTGTTATTGCTGAGGGTATAATAAAGGCTTCTAAAGGGGCAACCCATCTTGGCGTTTTTTTGTACCATATTTCTTTAATTTTTGCCCATACTTTATTTAACGAGCCTCTTAATAAATGTCTGCCAAAGTTTGAATGGATCTTGTCTTTCCCGTACCATACATAAGCGTGCCACCCCATACTAAGGTCATGACCTTCTAATGCTAAAAGTCTTGTATTTTCAAGTTTTACCCAGTCCTTTATCCAAGTTAGGGCGGCCGCTTGGTAGTATATGTACCAGTTGGGAACATTCAATCCTCCTCTTTCTTTACTGTCTTGGAGCACCTTCCATTTTATTCTAGCTTTCTTATGTTGCCATATAAATTGTCTAGTGGCTTTATTGAGATCCTCTAAGAAATTTTGCTTTTTTAACACTGAAATATTTTGTGCCAAGTACAGGAATCTAGGTAACACGTTCATCTTGACCAATGCAACTCTACCCAGTACCTTCCATTTTATTCTAGGTTTTTTGTGCTGCCATATAAATTGTCTAGTGATTTTGTTTAAATCCTCAAAAAAGTTTTGCTTTTTTAACACAGGTATATTTTGTGCAAAGTATAGAAATCTAGGCAGTATATTCATCTTAATCACCGCAATTCTACCCATAAGGGATAGTTGGATGGCGTTCCATTTCTGCAAGTCTGATCTGATCTCTTGCAATAATTTCATGTAGTTCCCTTCAATCAACGAGTTACATTTATTTGTCATGTTGATCCCTAAGTATTTTACTTTTTTGACTATTTCCATCTTGGTTGTCTCTTTGATTTTTTCTATCGTGTTTGGGAAACAATTCTTTACTATGATATTAGATTTTTTATAATTAATTTTTAGTCCTGCAACCTGTCCATAGTTTTGTATAGTTTTCATTAGTTCCTCTACAGAATCTTTGGGATTCTCCATTACAAACACTAGGTCGTCGGCAAATGCCTGTAGTTTAAATTCCTCCCCTTTCACCTTCAGGCCTTTTATTTGCTTATTTTTTCTTATATCTTCATTCAATGATTCTATTGCATAAACAAAGAGTAGGGGAGACAACGGACAACCTTGCCTGGTTCCTTTCTGGATCTCTATCATTTCCGTCAAGTCTCCGTTTATTATTACTTTTGCGTGTTGCTTTTTATATATCGCTTGGATTGTGTTGTAAAATTCTTGGCCAGGTTCTGCCACATCTAGTTTTTGTAATAAAAAGTCCCATGACAGATTGTCAAACGCCTTTTCCGCGTCCAGAAACATTAACATTAGTTCTTTCTCTGGATGTTCTTCGTAGTATTCTAATACATCCATTATAATTCTTATATTGTTTCTCATTTGCCTTTTGGGTAGAAATCCGGTTTGGTCTTGGTGGATCATCTGTGTCAAAACTTTTTTTAGCCTTCCTGATAGTATTGATGCAAATATTTTATAATCGACATTGAGGAGTGATATAGGTCTATAATTTTTAATATTGGTCTTATCTGAATTCGGTTTTGGGATAAGTGTTATTAAAGCATGGTTCCAAGAATCTGGTATCTTATTGTTTTTACCTATTCTTTAGCAAAGTTCTTTAAATGGTGTCCATAGCTGTTCTTCAAAAGTCTGGTACAATTCCGCCGGTATTCCGTCAGGCCCTGGGGTTTTTTTCCCTTTTTTGTCTTCTAATTGCCTCCATAATTTCAGATAGAGTTATAGGGTCATTTAGTATTTTTTTCTGTTGAGTATTAAATTTTTGAGTTCTGCTTTTAAGGTATTCTGCAATATCACTTCTGTTATCTGCATCCTGCTGGTATAATTTCTTGTAGAATTTTTCCACTATCTTTTTAAAATCTAATGTGTTGAACTTTTCTTCATTATTATCGTTTCTTAATTTAATTATGGTGCGCTTCTCTCTTTCTTTATTTTGTAGGCTAGCCATCTGTTAGGTTTATTTAGATTTTCAAAATAGTATTGCTTGGTGTATTCTATTTTCTTTTCTATTTCGTAATTTAGCAGGTTGTTTAAGTTGTGGTGTAGGAAGTTAAGTTTAATCTTTGCACTTCTGTCTCCTTTGGCTTTTAGTACTAAATTTTCTTGGTGTTTTATTTGTTTGACTAATTGATCATATTTCTCTTTCCT